TATAGTGGCTAAATGGAGCAAGAATATAATCACTAAAGTGTAAGCTCTCTGAAGGCTGGTTTTTGTCGGCTACGTTCAGTGGTGTATCCCCAAACACATAGGACAATGCCTGATGGTCGATAAAGATGTTAAAGGGCACTGACAGAACATCACTTTCTGATGGTGGCCACCTGAGACAGCAATATGTGGTAGGAACAGCTGTCCTGTGCAAAGTACTGTGTGGTTTAGACTTTAAGAGAAGGGGTTCGTGGTGCATAGGTCAGCACTGTAGAAAAGCAGCCAGGGATTCAAGGCAGAAGCCCAAGTCAGGAAAAACAAATGTGCATTTGGGAGCTAGAACATCTCCTAGGTCATTTCTCTCTAGAACTAGGCAACTGATCCCATGGAAAAAGGGCATGTGATAAGTGGAAATATACTCCATGACTCATTCTCTAAAAGTCCACCTCTTCCTTTTACCATAATTTGTTGTGTGTCTGATGGTTTTAAAGCAAGGTACTGCCTCACCCCTGCAATCTTTAAACTGGTCCTAAAGGAGAAAGCTAAGTACACTGTAGGTCAAATGGAAAAAAGTAATGAGACCTTTAATCTATTCTCACACATAGTGTGCATATCTGTAGTGATGCTTATCATCTAATTAATTCACTTAAGTCACAATAAGTTGACTTATTAAAACTTGGAAGTAGAAGCCAATATGGGAACATCATTTATGGGCAAAAGAGAGTTTTCCCTAATTATACTTCAGAAAAACCAAGTAGTCAGTTAGGTTCATCTTTAAATCTGTGACTCTAAAACTAAAGTTTTGGTTTAAAAGACATCATCACACAAGAAATAGATATTATAGTAAATTTATTTTATATAAATATACATATTAACAATATTTACAATGCTTTTTTTATTTATAAAAGATCTATATTTCTATATGGACAATAAGATACAAACTATTATCACTTTAAGTAAAAAATGTTTCTACAAATACATCATAAATCATTTAAAGAAACAACAGTATTTCAAGATTGTGTTCTTACATGCCATAGCAACTCATATAAAAGAGAAAACTGCCCCCTTCATCTCTTCCCCTGTGCCCAAAAAAGGGGCATTTTGAAACTTTCCTACCTTAAAAAAAAAAATCTTACTAGAAAGTATTTATCTCTTTTCTTAAAGGGTGAAAAGGTCATAGATAAGATTTTTGTTTAGAAAATGACATTAAAAGTGTCATAAGCTCCAGGATAAGACTTGTGTATTGGAGGCACTTTTTTCTTGAAAATCAGAAGCAATTGTATTGAGCAAATACAGGTGTGCACTTCATGCAAGGCACTCTGCCCGGGGCTATGGAGGAATCTCAAATGAACAAAATACATTTGGGGTTCTCAAGGACAGAATGTGACAAGCACCATAAGAAAGTGCTTATGAACAAAGGGCCATGGGAGCATAGAGGAAGGAGAGCCTGGATCTAATCTGGAGGAATAGGGAAGAGAAGGCTAGGATCAACTGTCACAGAGAAGGTGGCTTTCAAGTTGGGCACTCTTGGATAAACAGGGTGAAATGCAGAGGAAAAGTGAGAATAAAGACGAAAACAGTGTGAACCGAGAAGGGATGGATTAGGGTTAGCCGGAGGGTACGATACCTGAGGAAAAGTGTGAGATACAAGGGTGAGAAATGGTTTGGGGGAAATTGTAATAGAACTTGCATTCCATGCCAAGCCACTGGGAAGCCACTGAGGGTTGTAACAGTAGGGGATGAAACTAGATGAGAGCTATGCTGTAGAAAGATTGCCCTGGCAGTGTTTAAAATGAGACCACACAAAGAAGGTATTGAGATTAGAAGAAAAATTATTGTCATCATTGGGAAGTGGTAACAAGGACTTGAGCCAGGGTCTGTGCAGTAACAGACGGGCAATGAGGATGGAAAGGATACAAGAACAATTGCAAAGAGCCTTGTTGAGACTTGGAGACAGATTCTGGAGCCCAGAATGAGGTCTTTCCATTACGGATGAAAATAAGAGAAACAGATTTGAATGGGAAGAAGGTGAGTTGAGTTTTAGTCCTATAAAATTTAAAATGCTTGAGAAGGGCTCATAGCTATCCAACAAGTAATTGCAAATGTGGCCTTGTACGATGGTGAAGAGAGTAGGTGTAAGATCTGAGTCATAATGAGGGCATTTGGGGGCTGTGTTTGAGTTGTAGATGACAAGACTTCTGTCCTCGCTTTCTTCTACTCAATGTGTGGGGAAAGTGAGAATAAAGAAGAAAACAGTGTGAACAGAAAAGGGATGGGTGAAGATTAGCTGCAGGGTATGATACCTGAGGAAAAGGGCACGATACCTGAGGAAATAGTCAATTCAATATTTTCTCTTAAAAGACACAGGGTAGTTACTATGAAAGAAACATACATTAGATACAGTATACGCCTTCAAGGAGTATACACTATAATAAAGGAAATTCACCTCTGGAAATCCCAGTGATTATATTTCACTACAGTGGATCCCAAACTTCTCAAAAAATTTGCACAGTGGAAGTATGCATTCAAGACATATACTGCAATGATATTTACATTTTAACTAAATTACCAAATAGCAGGCTTTCCCCATTCATAGATATATTCTACTACCCATATACATTTGGCTAACAAAATTACACTTTAAAGCTGTCATGCTCACTGTTGTGGATTGAACTGTGTCATCTCCCCCCTCCAGTGTGTATCAATTTGACTAGGTCATGATTCTCAGTAATGTGATTGTCCACCATTTTGTCATCTGATGCGATTTTCCTATGTGTTGTAAATTCTACCTCTATGATGTTAATGAGGCAGGATTAGAAGCAGTTATGTTAATGAGGCAGGACTCAATGTATGAGGTTAGGTGGTGTCTTAAGTCAATTTCTTTTGAGATATAAGAGAGATAATCGAGCAGAGAGAGAGGGGGACCTCATACCACCAAGAAACAAGAGCCAGGAGAATAGTGCGTCCTTTGGACCCAGGGCCCCAGCCCAGAGAAGGTCGGAGACCAGGGGAAGATTGATGACAAGGACCTTCCTCTACAGCCGAGAGAGAGAAAGCCTTCCCCTGGAGCTGGCACCCTGAATTCAACCTTCTAGTCTCCTAGACTATGAGAGAATAAATTTCTCTTTGTTAAGGCCATCCACTTGTGGTATTTCTGTTGTGGCAGCACTAGATAACGAAGACACCTAGTTATATTATAGCTTTACATGAATCTAGCGTTGGTCTGATGGTCTCATTTAAAGAAATGCTTGTAAATAGTCAAAGAATCAAGATTTTAATTGAAGACGAGAGAATAAGCAATGGTGGCTTCTCTATCTTGGGCAGCCAGAGGACAATAGGAGGTTACTGGGTACATTAGGGAACAGGGGAGAAGAAGTTAGAGAGAGGTTCAGAAATGTGGGATGATGCCAAAGAGAACCTTTCTCATTTGTCCTAGGACTCTGGTGAGTTTTCTACATCTACAGCTGCCACAGCTAAAAGAGGTGCACTGGTTGGGGATACATACAAAAAAATGCCAGCCTTAACCTAGTTAAACCTGGTGTTCCTTGTCTAGGTTACTCTGAGCATCCTTTTCAGCTTAGCTTTATAACTGCCCTGTCTTATGAGTAAAAGGAGATACTTGTAAAAGGAATTGATGGAAGCACATCTATTAATTTAATAAATACAGTATTCCTAGGATTAAGGTACTAGTTATACTTTCCATTTACAGAATGCACCCCATGATATCATTTTTTTTTTCCTCTAAAGTGTTAGCTATCAAGAGATTGATCAGTTTTAGGAAGTTATGAATGAGTGATAAGGGGGGAAATGTAATACTCCACATTTAAAACATCTTTATTAGAGGAGAGGGCTATATTTTATAATTCTCAAAACCCTCCCAAGGGGCTAAGCCAAGAGCTAGTATAATCACGTATGTGTTTCATACATAATTAAAGAGAATTACTAGAGGTTTCTTCTCTCTCAGTTTAAATTTAGAACTGGTTCTTGATTCAGCCAGTTGTTAGAAAATGAAATAGCCTGGATATTTTTTGAGAGTCTGAAGTTTAAGTCAAACCTTAGTCAGAAAGTAGAGAGCTCAAGGGGATGGGGAAGAATCCCAAATAACTTGTTTTGCCAAATGCTAGACCCACTGAAGCAGAAGGAAACTGTTTATGAGAAGTAACCTTAGTCTCCAAAAAGGAATCATTTAACAACTGCAGGGATGTTACCCCTGCATAAAGGATGGAAGCTTTATTTATGCCATCTTGACTAAAATAAGTGAGCTGCAAAGATATTTGTTTACTTACTTTGACAGAAAGACTTGGGGGATAGCATGTGATATTGTGTGTGAGGTTGCAACGGGTGATTCCATAGCAAGAAACAGCCAGAAAAACTACAGCAGCAAACTCTAGATCTAGTAGGCACTCTGGTGCTGCAGCAAACAGCATTCAAAAGGTTTCTGAGAGACACTCAAAAATTATCTTGGCCATCTTAGGTATCACACTGAATTAGGAAATCCTTTATATAGAAGCATAAAGGAAAATTCTTGTACCCTTTAATGAAATATTGAATGGGTAATCTTGCTTTTTAAGATTGTTTAGTTTAAACTCAGTCAGTAATATTATAAACATCAGGAATGACTTTAATCGTAGTATTCATTGATTTTTCTTCTGCCAACTGATAATTTTATATACAAGGCAGTTCACATGTTAAACAATAAGTGCACCAGATTTATGAATATAAATCTTTCTTAATGAGGCACACTGAAAGCTGATTAAAGTAATACAGGATTTTTTTCTTTAATTATCAGGGAAGACATATCACAAAATGGTATAAAAATATTTTTTAAAATGAATACAATTTCAGTTAATACTGGCTTAGAGATTGTGCTTTTCTGATATAGTAATTCCAGTTCATTTTTTAAATCACAATATTATAGGAAATCTAACATTCTTTTTAGGTACAAATACCACCATTGACCTGGGCTCAGAACTGTTATTCACAGTAGCAGGGGACATGATTGACATAATACTTGCCATATTTTTTATTTTTTTTTTTAAATAATACATTTATGTTTGTGTTGAGCTTGATGGCTTTAAAAGCCCCTATTGTTGTTGCTGTTGTTGTTACGTGTTGTTGAGGCAATTTTGACTTACAACTACCCCATGTGACAGAGTAGAACTGCCTCATACGGTTTTCTAAGCTACAGTCTTTCTAGGAGCAGATAGCCAGGTCGTTCACCCAAAGAGCCGCGGGCAGGTTCAAACAGCTAACCTTTCTGTTAGCAGCCGAATGCTTAACTGTCTTACTACCAGGGCTCTTTTTTTTAAACACCCATAAAGTTGATTATTTTTGTTCCTCTGCACATGAAAACATCCTCATTCCTACTCACAATTCAGTTAAAAATACATTCAATTTCTAGCCCTTTGCTATAATTCCTTGATGATACAACATTAACTCTGGCCAAAAGAGGTATGTAACAGTAGAAAAACTTCAGATAATTTACTGGAATTCCATTTCACAGTCACTGAGGTAGAAGCTGATCATGCATTTTTCCATTAAAAGATACAAAAATTCATCTAGTTTATTGTACTGATTCAAAGACATGCATTTTTTTCATCAACAGTTTTATAATAATCATTATTTCTGAACCAAGCACTGCATGGAAATTTGCCCTTTGATATGTGCTTTTTACTTACAGAGATTTACCACTTGTAAGAATGTTACAACGTAAGGTAGAAAAAACAGTGTGGACTGTGTCACAAATGGTTAATACAGTATATGACATTAAAGTAAGTTTTCTGGTCTCCAAAGAAAAGGTACTTTAGAATTCAGTGTGAGTCTCAGAAATAATTCTGACCATTAAGTAAACATCAAAATTTTAATAAATAACATAGATGAAAAAAATAAACATTTAGAAAATTACCTTATACCTAACAAAATAATTTCTTACATTGGACAAACAGTTTGGCTGGATTTATCCTGGCAATGTCTCATTTTATAAAATTTTTGTACTGCCTTTACTCCATTCTGATGAAATTCCACCCATGTGGAATCATAGAAGAGATGAAACCGATACTGCTATAATATTGTGCCTTCCTGAAATGCTTCTATCCACCTATTGACAAGAGAAATCGGTTAGATTTGTAAAAGCCAGTTGTCGAACATATATGAAGACAAAAGAGATAATAGCTGGGCCTGTGGTTACAGTTACCCTAATAGCATATTTACGATCTTTTCTACAACAAACTGGAATTCTGTATATATGGAACTACCCTTTATTTGGTAATTTGGTCCACCACTACATGAAAACTGTGTCTCTTCTTTCTGTGAGTAACAAGAAAGGGGCCAATTCATGTAAAAACTCTGTGAAGTACTGATACTCCCATTTAACTGGTTTTTGGAAGTGGATGTATCAGCAGAGGGCTTTATTTCAACTCCCTTTCTCCCTTATCCAGTACTCTGTTTCAGTGCTTTTAGGAACATTAGCTTCAGTCCCTGTCTCCTCCTCTTAACTCTGTCCACTAGAGTATACTACTAGGGCATCCCTAGTTCAGATCTGTTCCAGTATTCTCAAATAAAGGGAATCTGGCTTCTAGTCCACTCCCAGCTGATCAAAAATTTTGCATGCAATGTAAAAGCTTCTCAAAGTTTCATAAAAGCCTTTTCGAAATTCTTTATTCTCAAAATAAAGTTTTATCCAACAATATGTTGTTGTTGTTGTTAGGTGCTGTCAAGTTGATTCCGACTCATAGTGACCCTATATACAACAGAACAAAACTACTTAGGGTAGTTTCTTTGTATCCCTAGTAATATAATTTCAAATTTTTGAAATTTAACTTTAATATTTTTATATTCTAAAAGTAATATATGTTCACTGCTGAAAATTTAGAAAATGTTAACATTTTGATATACTTCTAGGATCTACCACCTCATATTCTTCTACTCCCCAGCTGTGTACATTTTTTAAAAAAAATAGCATCAACTGAAGTAAATTTTTCACTTTCTTACTGAAATATAATTTCTTAGAATAATAACTTATGTAAAGAAAAGAGTCATAGAAACCCTGAATGTTTGAAATCGTGCAATTAATTTAATTAGCAAAATCAGCTTGTAACAGATTCAGCTCAAATTTCAGCCCAAATTTCAAGGGTAGAATTTTCAAAAATTTTAATTTTAAACACAAATGGTATATACATTGTACCATTAAAAAAAAAAAAAAAAAAAACCACATTTAAAAAAAGCCCAATGGGAGAAAATATTTGGAAATCATCTATTTGAAATGAAAATAAAACATTTGGAAATCATGATAAGGGTTTTAATATCCAGAATATATAAAGAATCCTACAACTCAACAAAAGATGAAGTACCCAATAAAAAAACTGGCAAAGGACTTGAATAGATGTTTCTCCAAATGAGATATACAAATAGCCAATAGGCACGTGAAAAGATGCTTGACATCATTAGTCACTAGGGAAATGCATATCAAAACTACAATGAGATACTACTTCATACCCATTAGGATGATTATTATCAGAAAAATGGAAAATAACAAATGTTGGTGAAGATGTGGAAAAACTGGAATCCTCAAACATTGCTGGTGGGTATTTAAACTGTGGAAACAGTTCGGCGGTTCCTCAAAAAGTTATACATAGTAATACCATATGACCTAGCAATTCCACTCCTAGGTATAGACCCTGAGGAACAGAGTTTTTAATTCTCAAGGAATCCAGATTTCTGGATTTCCTGGAGGTTGAGGTGACCCACCCAAGCTATTGCCCTGAGATGATCTTTGAACCCTGAGCTTTGATTAAACTGGTCTTCTAAAAGCACCTCTAAGTTAAACAATAAAACCTATTGTCGCTGAGTCAATTCTAACTCATAGTGACCCTATAGGACAGAGTAGAACCGCCCCATAGGATTTCCAAGGGGCAGCTGGTGGATTCAAACTGCTGACCTTTCAGTTAGCAGTTCGAGCTCTTAACCACTGCGCCACCAGGGCTCCAAGTCAAACAACAGTCCAGCTTAATTAGTAAAAAAGAATATTTTGCTTTGGGCAGTGTCCTCATTTATAGAATTACCTATGTGCAGTTTCAACAATAGAAACTCGAAAGGTCAGACTAGAACTATGTTTTAGGGTAAATCAGCAATTATCTGAATTGTTCTTCAAGAAAATGTTGCATGTCCAGGAGTTATTATGTAAACACTGTTCTGGCCCTGTTTCCAATAAGCTAGAGTAAAAACCCAAAACCAAATCAGTTGCCGTCGAGTTGATTCGGACTCATAGCGACCGTGTAGGACAGAGTAAAAGTGCCCCATAGCGTTTCCAAGGAGCAAGTGGTGGATTCAAACTGCTGACCTTTTGGTTAGCAGCTGAGCTTTTAACCACTGTGCCACCAGGGCTGGAGTATAAGAACGTGTAAAAGATTTTTTCTTCTTTGGAACATTTTTGACACTCTAGTCAGAAATGTTGCCCCAATTTGCAAATCGTATATTAAATAAACTTCAATCAATTTCCATTACTGGCTTAATATGATTTTTGTTTCAAAGACCTGAAAGACTTGAGAGCAGGGATGCAAACATAGACTTGTACACCAGTGTTCACTGCAGCATGATTCACAATAGCTGAAAGGTGGAAACAACCTAATTGTCCATCAAAAGATAAATGGATGAACAAAATGTGGTATATCCATACAATGGAGTATTACTCAGCCATAAAAAAGAACACAGTTCTAATATATGTTACAGCATGAATGAACTTTGAAAACATTATGCTAAGTGAAATGAGCCAGACAAAAAAGGACAAATATTGATCCCACTTATATGAAATATCTAGAATAGGCAACTGTATAGAGACAAAGTGGAATAGTGGTTACCAGGGGCTAGGTGGGAGAGTGGAATGGGGAATTATTAATGGGTATTGAGTTCCTGCTTGGAGTCATGAAAAATTTTTGGAAACAAATAGTGGTGATGGTTGCATAATACTGTGAATATAGTTAATGTCACTGAATTATACACTTAAAAATGGTTGATCCTGTTAAGGCTGACAGACAAGAACATATCACTAAACTGTACATGTGAAGATTATTGAAATGGCAAATGTTAACTATATCATTACCACAATTTAAAAAAATGGTTGAAATGGCAAATTTTATGTTACATATATATTTTACCACAGTAAAAAAAAGGTGATGGTGCGTTGACAATATGGATCATATGGATTACCAAGAAACCATAAAGACGTTTCACTGTGTCTTATGTCTAAAATTGTAATTTAGCTATCATTTAGTAGTTTCAGTAAATACTTTGCTATACAGGTATTTAAAAAAAAAAAAAGCCCCCAAATTTCTGTATTAGCACATTTTAATATTCTGTCATGTGTTAAAAAAAAAAAAACCACTTGATACTAATAACCTCAAAGAGTAATTTATTGCTAAATTCTAAGTAAGCTGATTCCTTTCACCCAACTACATTCATTTCTGTTTTAAAGGCATTTCTGTCTTGTCAACTTTATGACATAAGCTAAAGATGATTTATTTTGAAAAGCTACAATTTTATCAGTTTGATGATGAATATAGTACAGATGAAAATAAGAGAAAGACAATGTCTGCCAGAATCTTAGGGCAAGTACCATTTTGTCCAAATAATTTTTACAGAAAAAATTAAGTGACATAATTGAAAAATATTCTTCTTTTGGAGGAGCAACTATATTCTGCTGAATATTCTAACTTACACTTAAAAAAAAAAGTCTTATAGAGTGTAATATTGTACCTAGGTGATATTCAGGAACATACACAATTCTGATAGGGTAATTCTAACTTCCTTAAGAAACTGCAAATGTAGCTTACTTAGAGCAGTCCTTTTTATCCCATGCAAGATAACATATTTTTCTACACTTCTAACTCCATTGAGAAAACATGTACACCTCTTGCAGAAACAAAAATGCATATTTTATAAGGCCAAAATAGAAATCAGATGTGAAAGGGTGGGTTGAACTGTTTTGTTCAGAAAGGACCTTGACTCCACAGAGATATGCACCTCTAGGTTAAGCAATCCCATGACATCTAAGTAAATATTTTTGAAATTTTGAACAGACCACTCAGCCTTTACCATCTAAAATGACATCCATTTCCTTCTACTCAGTCAGCAACATGGGAGCCTCTTAATGTGTTTGACCTTATTCCCAAAGAAGTAAGTTAGCAAGCAGCTGTTTAAACTCCTGCTGTTCCATGGCACAATTGAATCACTGGACTGCCAAAGTCCTGGAATGTTTCAAGGGAAGATTCTTACCCTCATTGAAGGAGGTCAAATACCTCACCTCTCCTTCCTTTCAGCAGAGCAGCATCATGCTGCTTCCTCTGAGGTCATGCGTAGGCAAACTCCTTTGGACAAGAGTGCCTATTTACTTTTCCCCCCTGCCTCCTGAAAATATTCCAACACCCTTACCTTGTTTTTAAAACAATTCTTCTCAAGAGTTTGAATAATATGTTAAATCCTTCTATGTTGGAACTCTGATTTAAATTCTGAGTTATCCCCATGCATTAACATAGGTCATTTTAAAATCAACCATTTAAAGGAACAGCTTGAAATCTCATCTATAAAAGGAAATATTTCTAAGTTACTTACTTCTGAGCTGAGTGAGCATCTTCTGCTTTGAATATGTAAAATAACATGTTTTTGTGCAGTAACTGAAACACTTTAGACTCTGAATTCTCATCTTTGACTTGAGTAACAGTGAATCCTAATAAAGGTTGACTCTCCAAAGCTGCCACATCCTAATGTAAAAATACACAAAATGGAGATGTGTTTTTAGATTGGGACAAAATTCAGATTTGAGAATGCTTGATCTATGTGTGTGGCTCTAATTTCATATACATGCATGTAAAACAATAAAAAACACATTAATTTTTCATTTATTCAACAGTATTTATTGAGCCTCCCCCCCCCATCTACCTTTGTAACAGGCACTGTGCTAGATGGTTTGCAATGTGTTCATAGTCATTGAACTTCTTATTTTTCACTCTAATCCTGAGAGGCAGCTATTATATCACTTCCATTTTATGGATGCAGAAAATATAGCTCAAAAAGTAAGTGATTTACCCCAGGTTGTACTAAGAAAAAGCTTGGACCTGAGAGCAGTGGCTTCACAGGATGCTGGAACACAGGGAGATGGAATAGCAGAAATGGGTAGAATTAGAGCAAACAACCAGAAATTATTTATAACCTAAACAATGCCTATCTTATCTCTGCTGATGCCAGATCAGTAGAATCTGGGATGGCCAAGAGAGTGTCACCCAAGAGAGCTTGGCAAAAGAGATAAAAACTTTGAGTTTTAGTGAAGTAGTTAGTAGTCACATAACACCAAAAATACTTGCATTTTAATACTCTGGAATATTAACACATTTGAGTAAGGTATCTCCAGGTACAAATCAAGTCCATGTTAAAAGTAACAGCAGCAACAACTCCCCCCTTCAAAAGCAAAGCAAAACAAAACATACACAAAACCAATGTATTTAAAAAATTGTCCTCTGATACTTTAAATTATTTCCAGTTGTCAGTACAAAACAAGATCCCAAAATCTTTACATTTCAGACCTTACCTCACTTGCAGCGTATGTATACAGCACTTTATTTTTTATGACAAACCACAAATGTTTCCAAGGTTTTTTATTGCCCTTTGATCTGTACAAGTAGCCACTCATAGAAGAATCCTCTGTGTTTGCTGATACCTAGATAAGCAAGCCCAATACATATAGCTTAGTGGTTTTCAGAAAAACGAAATTAAAATTAAATCATTTTTGATCATTAGGTGCTAAAAGTAACAACCATAACAATAATATAATGTTTCAGAATGAAATTTTATATTTTCAAAGTTGGCTACTGTATAAACTGAAAGCTGCTATTATTATGAGCATAAAAACCTGTCAGTTTAGGAGCAATTCTAGAATTTTACCTGGTTTAACTGTGCTTGCATGTATGTGCTTGTATATATGCTTCGCTGTGGTTTTTCATCTGTGTTTTCTGGGTTGGCAGGAGAAGAAAATGAAATAATTCCAAAGGCCCAACCAAGGTTTTTTTTTTTTAAGCTGTATTTTTGGGACTGTATATATTGTACATTGCTCTACTTATTGGGGGGTGTTAGGGAAAATCATTTAAACCTTTATTCCTGAGAAAGCTTTTCTGACTTATAAAATATCAATAGAGTAGATCAAACATTCTATTATTAATACAAGTGATTTTAAGGATCAGCCTCTGATCGCTAAATTTCGGTCTGAAAGAAAAGAGGCATAAGCACTTGATTGCTAACCAGAAGGTTGGTGGTTCGAAAGATGTGGCTTGCGTAAAGATCGCACAGGCTTGGAAACACTATGGGGCAGTTCTCTGTCCTATAGGGTCCTTTTGAGTAGGAATCTACTTGACAGCAATGGGTTTTGGGTTTTATTTCATAAAAGGTTAAAAAAATTTAATCGCTACGCAAAAACATAGTATGCTTCTATGATTATAATCTGGTAATTGAAATTTTTTTTTAAGGTAGGGTCCATACATAGATACAAAAAAACAAATGTAGGAATTGCCTTAGTAGTGCGACAGACCCTCTTAAAGTGGCTCCCTATCATTCTCACCTCTTTTAGTCACACTTTAGTATAATGCCTTCCTCTTAAGTGTGACAAGGACCCGTGACTTCCTTCTAACCAACAGAATATGATGAAGGTAATGGAATGTCACTCCTATGATTGTGTTGTTAGTTGCCATCGAGAAAGCTCCGAGTCGTGGCAACCCGATGTTATATGAGATAAGACTCCACCTTGCTATTAGAATGGCTCTAGAGACTCTCTCCTTTGCTGGCTTTGGAGAAGTAAACAGCCATGTTGAGATGCCATGTGCAAGGAGCTGTGTGCAGCCTCTAGGAGCTGAGGATGACCTCCAGCCTCCCACCAGCAAGAAGCCAGGGTCCTCAGTCCTGCAACTGAAAGGAAAATGAACTCTGCCAATACCACACATGAGCTTGGAAGTAGACCCTTCCTCAGTGAAAACTTCCAAATGACAGCTCAACACTGGTTGACACCTTGATTTCATCCCTGCAGAGGACACAGCTAAGCCATGCCTCGACTTCTGATCAACAGGTACTCTGCGATACTAAATATGTGTTGTTTTAAACCGCTAAGTTTGTGGTAATTTGTTACATAGAAAAAGAAAACTAATACAAGTGGGCTCAATGAATTATAAAAGTATATCTTTAATCATTAGTTAATGTGTGAACTGGATTAATTTCTTACAAATTTCATAAAAAAGGATTACATGTTGTTTAATGGAAACGTTAAGATCTGACATTAAACTAGAAAAAAAAGTGCAAGTAGATTTGCATAAAGATACTCATCCTTGTGTAGAACCATCAAGTAATTTTAAACAAAACAACTAGAATATTTACATTTAAATGAGATTTTGCTTAAAATATAGCTACCTTGGGATACTATGGACTTATATAAGTGTTACTGCCATTGTTCAAAACGTTTTGTATATTCCTCCTTTGGAATATTTTAGAGAGAGTTTATTAGCCATACAATTTATCAATCATGAGACTGAGTAGTCCTGCATGGTCCTCTGTTATCTTTTTAAAAAGAAAATTGGTGTTAACCAGCTTAATCACCTAACTGATTCACAAAACTTTCATTCCATGATTTGACTATTTAAAATGTAAATCAAATCCAAATCAAAACACGAAATCTGCTATCACTGAAAGTAATACTGAGCGTACTGAGGCTCTGGATGTAATTCTAAAAGAGAAGAATTTCTAAAAATGTTTTGACATTACTGGAATAAGAACATAGCTTCTCAAGGAGAATACTTTGACCCTTACAGCACTTAACTAGATACAATAATTCTAAAATGTTTTCTTAAAACTAATCAGTTTAATGCTTTAGAATAACACTTAGACTATGTCCCCAAACTGGGCTGCCCTGATACTGTAGAAACAAGGAAGGAAACATTTGTTAAGAATCTGCTTTTTTTTAAAAAAAAAAAAGACCAGACTTACTAGTCTGACAGAGACTGGAGAAACCCTGAAAGTATGATGGCCCCCAGACACCCTTATAGCTCAATAATGAAGTCACTCCTGAGGTCTTCAGCCAAAGATTAGACAGACCCATAGGACAAATGAGACTAAAGGGGCACAGGAGCCCAGGGGCAAGGATGAGAAGGCAGGAGGGAACAGGAAAGCTGGTAATGGGGAACCCAAGGTCAAGAAGGGGAGAATGTTGACATGTTGTAGGGTTGGCAACCAATATCATAAAACGTGTATTAATGGTTTAATGAGAAACTAGTTTGCTCTGTAAACCGTCATCTAAAGTACAATAAAAAAAAAAAAAAGACGAAAAAAACAATCTGCTATAAGCTCAATTCACCATTCATCTGTCAGTTTGTCGTACTGTGGTGGCTTCCGTGTTGCTGTGATGCTGGAAGCTATGCAACTAGTATTTCAAGTAACAGCAGGGTTACCCATGGTGGGCAGGTTTCAGCAGAGCTTCTAGACTAAGACAGACTAGGAAGAAGGACCTGGTGATCTACTTCTAAAAAACAACAACATGAGCTCAGTATTTTTACATATAAAAAATTAGGCTCTGCCATACAAATTCCTGTCCCCTTCCCTCCATGCTTCACACTATAGTCAGACTGATTTTTAAAAATGCAAATTGTGATTGGGTCACGCTAATGTTAAAAACCCTCAATGGCTTCACAACATCTTTAACAGCCTCCAGGAACCTATGTAAATCTGGTTCCTTCTACTTCAAAAAATCCAGTTGCCATCGAGTCTACTCTGACTCATGGCGACCCCATTCACGTGTGTCAGAGTAGAACTATGATCCATAGGGTTTTCAATGGTTGATTTTTCAGTTGTAGATTGTCAGGCCTTTCTTAGGAGATGACTCTGGGTGGACTTGTACTTCCAACCTTTTGGTTAGCAACTGAGCGCATTAACAGTATCCACCACCCAGCGACTCCTACTTCTGTAGTCCAGAAACAATACTGTATTAGTTTCCTAAGGCTGCTTAAACAAATTACTGCTAACTCGATGGGTAAAACAACATACATTTATTGTCTTATAGTTCTGTACATCCGAAGTCCAAACTGGGTCTCACTGGACTAAACTCAGGGTGTTGGCAGTGTACATTCCTTTCTGGAGGCTCTAGTAGAGAACCTTTTCCAGCTTCTAGAGTCTACTTGCTCTCCTTGGCTCATGGCCCTTTCCTTCATTTTCAGTGCCAGTAATCTCATGCCAAGTCCTTTTCATATTGCCATCTCTCTAGTTCTCACTTCCAATTCCTTCTTCCACTTTTAAGGACCTTTATGATTGCATTGGGCCTGCTCATAATAATCCAGAATAATCTCCCTGTTTTTAGGTCAGCTGATTAACAACTTTAATTCTCCTTTGCCATGTAATCTAACATATTCACAGGATCCAAAGACTAAGGCACAGACATTATTGGGGGCAATATTCTGACTAATACACCTAACATTTATTGAATATTCTCAGTTGGGAAATCTGCTCAACACTCACACGGATTATCTCATTTTTCCTTCACAACAACCCTGTGAAGCAGACACTGTTGTTAGCCCATTTTACAGATGACGAAACTGAGCTAGACACAAAATGGCTGAGTGACTTGTTCATGGTTATAGAATCTCGGCAGTCTCACTGCAGGGCAGGGGCTCCTCATTCCCACCCCGTCCTGTTCTTCCTTCCAACTATTTAACCTTCATTCATCTCCTGCCCATCTCAGTGCCTTTACACAAACTGTTTCCTTTGTTTGATCATTCTCTCCTGTTACCTCCTACTCATCCTCAACTCAAGCATTACCTACTTCCTGACCCCTCAAGACTAGATCAAATGCCTGTTCTTTTCCTTATTGCATTCATCATGACTTATAAATAATTTATTCATCTGTGTGTTAATTCTATCTCCTCAGTCTATAAGCTCCACATGGACATATCTTTTCGCTCACTATGATGTCTTCAGTGTCCAGATAGTATGTAGCAGTCACATAGTAACAGTTTAATGACATTCGCATATCTCATTTGCCCAGTATGACTGGCAAAGGAGAAAAGCAATGGCTTTCAAATTTTAGCACCCACCAGAATCACTTGTTAAAAGTTTCTGATTCTGTAGATCTTGAGTGGGACCTGAAAATTTGCATTCATAACAAGTTCCCAGGTGGTGCTGATGCTGCTAGTCTGGGGTCACACTTTGAGAACTAGTGCAATAATGGAAGAAATGATTGCAGTCAGGAAGTAAAAATCTGAAAGCAGAAGGCCTGTTTGTGTGGTTGGGTGGGAAGCTGTATGAAATGGGATTGGAATTAGGTCTAGACTGTAAAGAGTTCTAAAACCAATGCCGTGGGGTTTAGACTAAAGAGGGGAGCAAACAGTAAGAATTATACTTAAAAACGGTGACATCAGTGTGGAGAGGCAAAAAGTTACAGAGATCTGAGAATTGATTAAGAACCTCAAGTTCTGGATGTAGATTTAGATTCAGGAACTGAGCGATGGTATGGATAATTCAAAGGTGCTCACTAAACTGGCTCAATCAGTTTCATATGAAACTTGGCAAATAGAATTTTAAGTCCTATTCTTATTATTTCATAAAATTGGCTATAAATCATGTCACACTATTTCAATTGCCATGATGGAATGAATATACTCTGACTTTAGATAAGAAAGATGATGTTGGTCAGAATTATAGGTGTTTGCTTACACTTTCTGTGATAGAACACCTCCAACAGTAACCAAGCAAGAGAACCAAAATTAAAAACCTGATACAGCTGGCCACAAAACTAGTACAGGTAGCACTAATCAGTAAATACTTAAAAAGACTAATCAGAAAGGCAGTGGCCAGTGCACCTATGCATAACCAACAGCCAACATCATTCTTAATGGAGAGAAGCTGAAAACATTCCCCTTGAGAACAGGAACAAGACAAGGTTGCCCTTTATCACAACTCCTATTTAACACTGTGCTGGAAGTTCTAGCTAGAGCAATAAGGCAAGAAAAAGAAATAAAGGACATCCAAATTGGTAATGAAGAAGTTAAACTGTCCCCGTCTGGGGATAGTATGATACTATACATAGAAAACCCTAAAGGCTACACGAGAAAACTACTGGAACTAATAGAAAGATTCAGCAGAGTAGCAGGATACAAGATAAACATACAAAAATCAGTTGGATTCCTACACATCAATAAAGAGAACAATGAAAAGGAAATCAGGAAAACAATACCATTTATAATAGCACCTAAAAAAATAAAATATTTAGGAATAAATCTAACCAGGGATGTAAAAGACCTATACAAAGAAAACTACAAAACACTCCAGCAAAAAACCCAAAGGGATCTACATAAATGGAAAAACATACCATACTCATGGATAGGTAGACTCAACATTGTGAAAATGACGATTCTACGCAAAGCAATTTACAAATACAATGCAATCCCAATCCAAATACCAACAACATTCATCAAAGAGATGGAAAAACTAATCATTAGCTTTATATGGAAAGGGAAGAAACCCTGAATAAGTAAAGCACTATTGAAGAAGAAGAATAAAGTAGGAGTACTCACACTACCTGACCTCAGAACCTACTATACAGCTACGATAGTCAAAACAGGATAGTACTGGTACAATGACAGATACATTGACCAATGGAACAGAATTGAGAACCCAGATGTAAATCCATCCACCTACAGTCACCTGATCTTCAACAA